GAGCTCAGCAAGCCGGTTCGCCTCGTATTTCGCTGTGGTCCCCACACGCCCTCCGCCTTCGTCGCTTTTTTTTTGGTTCTCTCTTTTTTTTCCTCTCCAGCTATTTAATTATTAAAATTTTTAATTTAATCACCTTTTCGGAGTCCTATAAATATTGAGCCACAGGCGCTCAACCTCGACTTATACCATTTTCATTTCCCTCCTCTGAAATCGATTGGGGGAAAAAGAACTCGTCGCCATTTCCGAAGTAAGCAGCTCATCTCCCTCTTTTTCTTACTATATATATATTCGCATATTATTGTTTGATTTAGATATATAATTGTTTATTTTTTCGCTACATCTACCAACGGATCTCGATCTTGATTTGGTTGGATCGATCTTTGAGTTGCTATCATGTTCAAATTTAGGGTATTGTTGATACCTGCGAGCCTCTTAATCTCACATGAGGGATTATTTTGTAAATTTTTTGTTTTCCAATGTTCTTAATTAGGGTTTGTGAGCTACAAGTTTCTTATGACTGTTACATTAATGGTCCAATACAACTTAGACCCCCCCGCTCATTCAAAATTTTTTATTTTTATTTTTAAATTTAGTTAAAAGCCAATTCTTGTTCATACTCTCATCCCTTCCCTTGAAAGCCATCTTCTTTGTAAGTGATGGGGGTTGACTGTACATCTTACTTGTCCGTTGAGTTGTTAGTATGGAGCGTGAGAAGTTGGACTCTTCAACGATCAAAGGCTTCCGATAATTGAACAACATAACAGATCAACAAATACAACATCTCATTAATGACAAATTTATCGAACTGCAGCAAAATCAAGCGCGTCTCGAGGACAATATATATATATTTTTTTAAATGTGTTCCTGAGGCGTCAAAGCTAGAGATGTGATTGCCAAGATTGAAAGTCGTCGTCACTTGGGTAATCTTTGCTTGTCGTTGTTGTAATTTTGTTTTAGTAACGAACGGTACTAAAAGGTATAAGATGAGAGGAGAAAGTCATGGATTGTATCCTCCAGATGAGCGTGTAAGTTTTAAGTCAGAGTTAGTCCTTAATCATGGTTGGGCTAGGTCTTTAAATGGGATATACGCGACAATACTTTTAACAAGTGGGTAGATCATCGTTAAGGATATATATCCAAATATTGATTCAATTATAATTTTGTTAGGAATTGTATAAGAGAAAACACTTCCAATTACCATTTTGAGTTGTATAAGAGAAAAAGTTGTTATCAAGAACTACATGATTTTTTTTTAATCATAGAAAATTAGTTAGGACTAATAGATCTGATATGTAGTTTTACACAATATGGTAGGAGATAGGACTAATATGCTAGCGCCTTGTTAAGATTTTATCTGTTTTGGGCTATCATCTTGTTTGCTTTTTCCATACTTCATATTGATTTCTAGACGATGCTATAATAGTTTGAAAGTTATGTTTTTGAACTAGAAGACTTTGATTGACTTGCTTTGCCTTTATGCCAGACTGAAGAGACAGATGCCACCTTGAATTTCATTGAAATCTAGAAGCTTCTCCTACCACTGAAGTTTTAACGGAAAGCAGAGCATTGAAAGTTCCTTTCTAATGATAAAATTGATTTAGTAAATGGGAATTGAGGTACCTTTCTTGTTTTCTGTTACTTTCTTTAAGTAATCCTTTTGTGACTTTGTTATCTCTAATGCATAGGTCCCCATTTGTATGCAGAAGATCACATTAAAAGAAATAAGTTTGGGATCCTCTATTGATATATCCTACCCATGGGTTCATTCGTTAAGGAGAAGACCTCCGTTTTATTGGCAGGTGATTTCATGTTGCCATCTTCTCCTGCGTTACTTGCTAATCATCTCATCCATGTTTTTTTTCGATCTTCTATCATTCTTGTCGGTTAAGATGGAAATAAGAATGTAAAATGAAGTGATGGAGAAAGTTGATTCTCATTGTTTAGTTATAATTGACAACAGCTAAAAAAGAGTGTGAAGAAATGGAAATGATTTTCTCTTATCTTCAACATAAAATGCACCAATTAGGAGAAATTATAAGATTATAGTTAGTGGGGCAAAGAGGATTAGAGGTAGACCTAAAAGAACTTGGTTTGAACTTGGAAGCAATTAAGGATGATATGATGATAGTGAATTTAACAGAAGAGATGATTCGTAATAAAATTGAATGGAATAACAGGATTCATGGAATAAAAGGTTTTATTGTTGTTATTGTTGTCGTCATCGTCGTCGTCGTTGTAGTATTTTGGTCCTAGTGATAGTGATGGAAAGATAAATATGAGTCTATGCCACTTTAGTTTAGCAGGAGGTGAGCTATTTGTCCATTGATCAATGTTCTTGGCTAATAATTGCCTGATTTGTCTTGAACTCTTCATGCATTATCTTTGACTTTTCTTAATGTTTTTTGTTGGCCTTATTTGAATTCTTTCCCAACAACAAATACAGCATAGTATTTGGATAAACTAGAATATCCTTTGCAGCCTAGCATAATTATTAATATTGACAGGTTTTCTGGAGATTTTTAAGAAAGGTCGGAGTGGGACCATTGGTGACATATTCTTACGCAGTCCTTTGATAACAGTCTTTTGATAATTTCAATCATTGGGTTTTCCTGAGTTGAAAACTTGCAAGCTGGTCTGAGACATACTTATTTAAATAATTCAGTTCGAAATATCTTATTCGCAATGATTAAAGAGTTTGTTAGACAAACTAAAAGATATGCAATTGACATTAATCAAGTCAAGATGAATCCTCTCAATTATACATATCTTGAATCTTGCATAAAATGGTATTTCTATTTCATTTCATATCCTTATATTCATATAATTTGTCTGCTTTGCCTACCAACTAATCACCATGCTAGTGTGTCAGTAGATTTTTAGATTTTTATCTTCATAAGGTCATGATCTCTTTGGGTTACATGTGGAAATGAAGCATGCAAATTTGTAGACTAGCTTATCAAGTTGAACAGCTAATTTATGAAGTATCTTAAGAGAAGATGTAAGATGCATTATGTATTATTTCATGAAAAGGTATGAATTATTTGTTAAAAAATTACAATCTATAGAATTGACCAAATTAAATAAATTTAACTTTTGGAGAATTTGAAAAAAATAAAAGTGCCATAAGTGGCCGCAACTTTTGTATGAAAAGAGATGATAAGAAGTGAACTTTAAGGGGAGAAAAAAGGACCTAGTTGCTTACTTGCTTATTTCATTCTTCCAGATATATTTCATTTTCCTTCCTGTGTGTTGAAATTTATGTTGGTTTTTTTTGGTATGAACAGTATGTTTTATTCGATACCAAGTCAGCATTAGTTGCAAAGTCCAACTATGACCGTCAGTTAACAAGTTACAAAACTAATCTATACGGACACCAACCCTGAAGGGGGACAAATCTTCATTACGAGAACAACTGAGTCTTTTTAACAACTCCTCTACACAAAATTGAAATTTATAACCTCTACTATTCGAATCAAAATCAAATGGAGCTATAGTGCTTAGGGAGTATGCCATTGTGTTGACTTCACTAGTTGAATCTTCAATGAGAATCTGATATATACCATAATCTGATTGTTGGTTTGATATACATTATCACTTCATAAATTAATTGTTTAAGTTTTTGGGTAGAGTGGCTTTTGACATTGTATTAGAATATTTCAAAATGTCTTAGATTCAAGTTATCATTGTCAAAATTTTAATATGTATTTATGTTATCATTCATTTATTTTTGTTTTTACAAGTGAAGTTCATAGTTTAAGGCCTTCTCCTGTGGACAAAAGTCTCGTATAAGGGAGAATACTAAGAGTTATATAGATTTGATATACACTGTTAGTTTTCAGGATCGATAACTTGACTTTTTTGGATAACTGGTTCTTGACTTGTTTGTCACAGTATTATGCTTCCCTAACAGATGCAATGAAATGAAAAACATTTACGATATCGAATATGAAGGGAAATCTCTTTGCAACTTTAATTCTGATAAAAATTAAGTGAGTTATCAAGCAAAAAAAAATCTTTTTGTAAAGCAAGTAAATGCTTATAATGTTTCTCTATTTGTCGTATTTAGGTTTAAATATGTTGATCTTTTTGGATTTTCTTTATTATAGTCGAGTTTATATAGCAAGATACTAATTGTTGAAAAGATATTGATTCCTGTTCTCTTTTCAGGGTTGGTGTTCCTTGGCTTCAAGTGTTTGAAACTCTGCTACAGGATTATTGAAGAAAATTGTTCTCTGAATTAATCCAGATTAACTCAGTTTCCATTTCTAACTACCAACATGTTGCAAGAACCTGAAGAAAAATCAGACTGTTCCAGAGAACTCAATATCAGCTTTGGTTACCAATGCAACTCCAATCAAGACAACTCTACCAAAGTTAACTGTGAGTTTGAACTCTTTGGTGGAATTCAAATTCCAGAATCCAACTTCAAATTCAGAAGTAGCTCCTTTTCTTGTTTGTCCGGTGCTGCCCTCAGTGCAAATTGCACCTTAGCCAATACCAATATATGTAATGGTCTTATTGGTGAGGAAATATTGCCTGGCTTGGATTCTCCAAGATCATTTAGGAGGCTGACTTCTTCTCCTTCTCTTTCGAGTATGGATCTCCTGTCATCTTCTCAAAGTAGTTTATCTACATTGGGAGGTAGTATGTCAATGGATAGCGATATGCTTGAAAACAATACTAGCCTTTGGAAATCAATGAGCGCACCAACAAAGGTAGAATCTTCTAGCTTTCTTAATGCTATGGATGTGCAAATGGCCGGTGGAGCTGCTGGCGAAGATAGAGTTCAAGCAGTGTGTTCCGAAGAAAACGGATGGCTATTTTGTGGGGTATATGATGGATTCAATGGGCGTGATGCTGCAGATTTTCTAGCTGGGACCTTATATGAAAACATAGGGTTCTATTTTCATCAGCTAGAATGGCGTATTAAGAAACAAGGTGAAAGTGGTGCCCCATATCAGTACAATGCTTTTGAATGTGCCAATGATTTGTCTTCGGCTATTGGTGCGTTGAATATTGGAAGCCAGCAATCAACATATTCTGCTTCAGATGGAGGAATTTTATCTGAAGCTTTCCGTGTTGGTGTATTGGATTGTCTTGTGCGTGCTCTAGCCCAAGCTGAGAGTGATTTCATGTACATGGTTGAACAATCAATGGAGGATCGGCCAGATATAGTTTCTGTTGGATCTTGTGTCCTTGCCGTTCTTCTCCATGGACAAGAATTATATATTTTAAATCTTGGGGATAGTAGAGCTGTGCTAGCTACATGCGATGTTGCTGAAAATGGTCCACTACATGCCATCCAATTGACGGAAATTCATACAGTTGATAATGAGTTTGAATACAAGAATCTCATGGATAGTCACCCAGATGATCCTTCACCAATTGTTGGTGGAAGAGTGAAAGGAAAGCTGAAATTAACTCGTGCCTTTGGTGTTGGCTACCTAAAGAAGGTATTCACAATTATATTATTGGTTTCTGTGTAGTGTGTAGATGGAATTTATTGGATTTAATAGTCTAATTCACAGTTTTATTATATTTATATACAGAGAAAACTGAATGATGCACTTATGGGCATTCTTCGAGTCCGCAACTTATGCAGTCCGCCATATGTTTCTACTCATCCATTCACGATGAATCGTAAAGTTTCAGAGAATGATTTATTTGTGGTACTAGGGAGTGATGGATTGTTCGATTTCTTTACAAATGAAGAAGTTGTGGAGCTTGTTCACCAATTTATCCAAGACAATCCAGCAGGTGATCCTGCAAAGCATTTGGTTGAGCTGCTTGTACTCAGGGCAGCTGAAAATGCAGGTACATTTTTAATATAATTGTGCGTATCAATCCTTATTGTCATGACTTGTCAAATATTGATGTTTCGTTTCATCATTTTCTCCTTACTGAAAGAGCGACATTGTAGTCCTCCTTTTTATCCCAAAAAGACTAATAACAAAAAGAAACCATTCATCTGAAATTTTTGAATCGTTTTTTCCCATTCAGATAGACTACATCCTCTGTTTAGGTAATTGCTACCATATCTTAGGTAATTTCTTTCGACCAAATCTCTTAAGCCTTACCTTTAGGCATCTTTACTTCATTAATTATATAATCTTGCCACCCTCCTGATCGATGTATTTAGCCCTCTAGATTGGATATGGTCAAACCATCTCAATGGGTTCCCGTCGCCGGCAGTTTATCTTCTTATGAATTCAATCATTTCTTATCTTATATTTTAGCATATATCCACACAACTATCGCTATATCTTCATTTTTACTACATTCCTTCTTTATACACATTTCTTAATTCCTCAACATGTTGATCCATAAAGCTTAGTTAGTCTTACAGCTGTCGCATAGAATTTTTATCCCCCCAAAAAAAGACTATTTATATTGATGTTATTCATCACTTCCATCGTTGAATTATTTTGCTCAAGTCTTGATGATTTTACTTTTTTTATCTTCAAGAATTCTGGATAGGAATTTTATCGTTTGCCAGTTGCCAGTCTGCTTTCATTAAAAATAATGTAGTTTAAGTGATCATCCATCAATCTTCCTAACGAGCAAAGCTAGGCATCTTCTAAATTTACTCTTCATGTTTCTTTCCTTCCGATAAGTTATAATATGATACAACCTTCATCCTAATCTCCAAAGAATTGTGTAAAAGGGTTCAACCCATTTCTTCTATATAATTTAGGTGGCTAATTTTAGGATTTTTGGTACTTTAAACTTACAGTTTAATCCAAGTTAGGGTTCAAGTTTACACTATGATTCTACTTGCTTACACCTTCTACAGAGGCCAACTTGACCTAAACCGTGTAGACTTTTTGAGGAATATGTTTAAGAATCAGTAGACCCAGACTGCAATTAGATTCACTAAACCAAATGATTATGAAGTATTAGACATTCAGTACGATTCTAACAGTAACTGACCTTGTCCTATCAATATGATTGTGGTTGTATTCCTATTTAAGAACAATTTTTCACTTCAGCCCCATTCCAATTTTTTATTATTGAAATCGACCCCTTTTTTTTTATTTACCAAAACCAACCCGATTTCGTGATTAGCAGCTTAATCACCTTCTTAATTAGTCGGGGTTGCCAACCGGCAACCCGACTATTTAGGACATTAATTTTTAGGGTTTAAGGTTTCTAATTAGGGTTTAACACCCTTCTAAATAATCGGGGTTGCCAACCCCGACTAATTAGTAAGGTGATTAAGCTGCTAATCACGAAATCGGGTCGGTTTTGGTAAATAAAAAAAAAGGGTCGATTTCAATAATAATAAAATTAAATGGGGCTGAAGTGAAAAATTGTTCCCTATTTAAACATAATAAGGACTTAAGCAGTTGCAGCCAGAGCTAACCGGCGGTTTCCAATTATTTACCATATTATATACTAGCTTCTAGTATTTATAATAACTTCTCAACATGAATCTTGAAATCAACTAGTATACGCCCTGCATTCTTTATTTGTTATGGATCTCTATTGTTTAAGAATGTACGGTTTATAAAATTCCTTGTGCAGGTTTCAGTATTGAAGAATTGATGAGAGTTCCTGCTGGAAGACGAAGAAAGTACCACGACGATGTGACGGTCATCGTGATTATGCTTGGTAATAAGCAGAGGACATCAACAGCATCCACCTCGCTCTAGGTTGGATTCAAACACCGAAAAGAAAAACTGCTAGTGTGTATTTATGTGAGGAGTATTATGTTCTTTTATGCGTACACAAATGGGTGAGAATTGTTTGTACATACTTAATAGCCAAGTAATAGTTATTTGCTTGTTTTTGGATTTTAGCTAAATTCATTTGGAGCCTTTCCTTTTTTTTATGATGCTGTCCCTTTTCTAGCTGAAAAGGATGTTTAACAACTGCAATAATTCTGGCTAATACGCCTAGCAACACCCGCAAATTTTCAACAGTTTGCTCCTGCGCGCGACAAGCCCCCTCTAAAAGTCCCATGAAATGGATAATATCGAAGATTTTAATCATTGTTTGCAATGTCCTTGTCATCTCCTCCTCTACGACACTTGCTCATAATTAAAAGGGTTTTCTCACAGAAAACACCTATAATATATGGACAAAATTTGAAAACCGTCCTATTTACAAAATAATTTGTCAAAACCAACCTATTCTAAAAAAATTATCAAAACCGACATAGTTTCAACCGTCTGGCTGAAACTGGGTCATTTTGACAAATAAAAGTATGAAACTTTACGGGACTTGAAGTCCCGTGAAGTTTAGCAGTCATTTAATTAAGCTGCGTAACTTCACAGGACTTCAAGTCCCGTGAAGTTTTTTTTACTCATGAGACTTCAAAATGACTCATTTTACTTAATGAAAGGCTCATTTTCTACTAAAAATTCCACGGGACATGAAGTCCCGTGAAAAATTTGTCGCCCTTAATTAATGTTATTATAGGTTGCTAAATTTCACGGGACTTGACATTATAGGCTGCTAAACTTCACGGGACTTCAAGTCCCATGAAGTTTCAGATTTTTTTTCTCAAAACCGACCTAATTTCAGCCATCGTCGGTTTCAGCCCGACGACTGACACTATGTCGGTTTTGACAATTTTTATTGTAAATAGGAAGGTTTTCAAAATGTGTCCTTAATATATAGTTGTTTCTTTTTATTTTTAATTTATACATAAATCATCTTTAAAATATTTTTTGTTGCAATTAAACCCACATATGCTCACTATTAGGTTAAGTTTTTCGGTTTTCCTGTAGTAATTTAGTTATCAAAATACCAAATATATTAGAGAAATGATCCTTAATTAATTGAGGTTGGGTAAGGTTAATCATTAAAAAACATTATTGAAAAGTAGGCCCAGGTAGTTGATCCCAACCGAAAATACTTTAAAAGGTAGTTTGTGTATAAATTAAAAATAAAAGATGATTTTTATGGAATGACCTCATGTTAGATGTGGTTTCTATGAAAAATGCCCCAACTAAAATTGCATAGATGGTGTATATATATATATATGATACGCAGCAGATATCCTTCTTCGCTTCTGCCTTATGAAAACATGGACACATTTATCCATGAGGAGTATGTGAACAAGCGCCGTGAGTTGAAGAAGAAGCAGAGGCAGCATCAGCAGCTCTGGGTGCAGACTGAGCTCCGGTCCGATACAGCGATGGCGACGCCCGTTGTGTCCCCGTCGACGACGACGCCGCAGGAGAGTTCAGCTTCGCCTTCCGCAACTGCTGGAGGAAGAGGAAGAGCTCCTCCCTTCGACAGGCTGCTTGATTACTTCAAGCCAAACTAATAGCTCTATTGTCTGTCTATGAAAGTTGATGGTTGTAGTTTTAGAGCAGGAATAATTCCATGGCCTTGGGTCTGTATCTTCATCTTGGTGCTGGGTAGATGAGACTTATTATCATCATAAGCTAGCCCAGTATGTTTTCCTCGTTTTGATAATGATTGCTATCCGTCTTGATCTGTGTATCATTAAGTTCTAGGTTTAATTGCAGATAGGCCCTCGACCTACCACCAAATTGCAGATGAATTCCCTTGGTGCTTCTACTACTGCAGATACACACCATGAATTCTCGACCCTCTGGTTTCATGTGCAGATAGCGCTTCATGAGCTGAAACATACGAGCTTCATAAACTGATTTACTTATTATAGTTGCTTATTATAAACTTAGATAATGATCGCTATATATATATAAAGTAATTAATTGCGGAATAGACGACTTTTAATTATCTTTGAAAATGTAGCAGGATTAGTAGTATTCATAATTTGGTTTGATGATATGAAGAACAAGATGGATGATTTTGATCAGTTATTTGAGTAATGTTGGTTAGAGAAACTTTTGTTAGCAACCATGAAGTGACCTTATAAATCCCCAGCTTAATTGCATAACCAAAGTGGTAAGTATAAGCTACAAATAGACTTCTAGAGAAGGATTTTAATAAAGAAAATGGCAGATTAGTGAAGAAAAATATAATTTAGCACCAAAGTTGCTGACATAAGAGCACCAAAGACTACAGCATGTTTCTAAAAGTCACCACAGCCACATGAAAGATCAAGAACCAGCAAAAACTTAAAGACCTCTGCAACTCTAATGGATGCAAGAAAAACTTTCAAGATCTCTCTCTCTCTCTCTATGCTGCTGCTGTCTCA